ACAGGCTGTCTGGTCTCAGAGTCTATGATTTTTGCAGTGTACGTTTGGTAAGCACCCTCAAGAGGATGCTAAGCCTACACTTGGCTTTAATAATGTGAGCTATACAATTTGTTTTCTCTCGACCATAAAGCAAGTTTAGAAGAGTCCAAATGAAGCAGACTTTTGTTATTCACTGGGTTTTTCATGTAGCCACCATCATAGGATGTCCAGCTTCTTTCATTGCCTTCAATTCTTAGGCCTCAAATTTCTTGTAATTTTCCCCCATTATTTTTCCTATATGACGATTGCTGATAAGTCACAGTCAATCAGAAATGAAATTAGTTACTCATGGCCAAATCATTTCAAAAGCAACATTATTTTTTTTAAGTATTCCTTTCTTTTATACCTACCTCAAACCTACCTACATTTAATGTCAGATATGTTGTAGAGATGAGTTCATCACCCAGGTACTGAGCCTAGTACTCATTAGTTATTTTTTCTGATCCTCTTCCTCCTCCAACCCTCCATCCTCCAGTAGGCCCTGGTGTCTGTTGTTCCCTTCATTGTGTCCATGTGTTCTCATCATTTAGCACGAGGTATTTTTGTTTTCTGTTCCTGAGTTAGTTTGCTAAGGATAATGGCCTCCAAATCCATCCATATTCCCACAAAAGACATTATCTTGTTCTTCTTTATGACTGCATAGTATTCCATGGTGTATATGTACCACATTTCTGTTATCAATGTCTTTGCTATTGTAAATAGTGTTGCATGTTTTCTTGGCTTATTTGCATCTGCCCTTCAGTGCTCACTGTGTTTTTAGTATTATTTCTGTTTGCTTGTAACCACATTCATTGCTGTGGTGGTATTTTTCTCTTCCCCTTTTACATTGTTCCACAGCTCATTTCTTGTGTTGTCTCACCATATCTTCCTTGAAGTCTTATCTCTGCATCCATAGAGCAGTTGCTTCAGAACTATTTTAAATTCATAGTAATATGTATGGTTGGATATACATTTTATTTTATAGTAGCACTTCGTTTCTATGCAGACTTTTTCTGGTGAGTGGTTTTGTCCATTCCTGTTTTTCCTGTTCCTTCCTCTCTCCTCCTGTCTTTTGTAGTGCATCTCTGCTTTTTTTTTTTTTTTTTTTGAAACTTTGAGTGAGGTAAAATTTTCTGAGAAGCTATCTGCTGGAGGTTCATAACATGGGGAAAGAACCAGAGCCATATTCCAGATAGTAGACATTTCTCCTTATGGCACTGGGTCATGAGTGTTTATTTCTCCCCAGCTGACTAAGACCAGCCTGGCAGATCCTTTCACAATGCATTGTCTCTCTTCCTCCACTCTCCCACACTGGCATTATATGTTTGCTATAATAATGAGTGGAACCTCCAAAAGAAAAGAATATCTGGTGTTTCTGAAGGCCTTTAAATGACTGCTTAATGGGTGATTGCTGAACGAAGTAATGTGGAGAGGTGTGGGCAATGGAATTGCAAATGCCTCTTACAAAGAAGTTCAACACCAAAATAATTTTTTGGAAGAGTATTTAAAGAGTCACCAGAAGTAGATGCCAATATACCATGTACAAACTATATGCTTTATGGACTTCCTATAATAGAGTAGCATTTTGAGTTAGATTAAAGATGTATATACACATTCCCAAGGCATTTAGTAAAAACTATAATTTGCTTGGAAACACTGGGTGAATCTGTGGCAAAAAGGATACTATGTTTCATGACTGATGATATGAAAACCAACTTCAAAAAAAGTCAGCAACATATTTTTCATTTTAACTTGAATACACAGGCAAATCTTTTTATAGTATATGTACGATTTAAACATGTGATATCAGAATTTTTAAAAAGTTATTTGGCAATAAACACAACTAGCTCTGAATCATACAAAACTAAGGAAGTTTTACATTGTCAGTGAATTGGAAGTTTAAATTTTAGATAGGAGTATGTTTTGCTGGTGCAGTTGCATTGATTGTACAACTTTCTGGAGTACCGGCTCCCCAAATTAAAGAACCTGCCAGAGAATGAATGTAAATACAGTGCCTCCTTCAGAAGATTTTGCTGTGATGTCAGCTAAATAATGTGTTTAGTGACATAGTGAAAATTGTGGCTACGTAAAGGCTAGTGCATTAAATTCTAATTTATTCTCTTCATTATGTAATAATAAGGACGCTAATTATAACAAACTATTATTGCATGCTAACAGGCTTATAAAGAAAAATTCTGTCAAAAATGTTTGAACCAAAGATCAAACCCTTATTTTTTCTGCAAGATAGGAAGCCAGTTTGGTCCCAACTTTTTAAAGATGTGAAATGGATACCCAAACTTGCTTATTTGCCAGATTATCTTCAATATTTTTACTGAGGTTAATATTTCCTGCAAGGAAAAAAAATGCAAGATTTTTTCAATGGCCAATAACACCAAAGGGCAAAATGAAAGACGCCTGGAAGAATAGCTTCCATAAATTGTTCTGATGTAACTTGATAACAATTATCAATAAAGTAGGTGATAAATTTGATATTGCACAGCTGCAAAAAGTTATCAGACATCTTACAGATTTTATAGAATGTTGATTTTCAGAACAGAAAACCAACACAGAAGAAATTCATGAATTCAGAATTGATGTCATTGAGAGATCATTTAAATGTGACTATAGCTTTATAGCATAAATTATTGTAATTGGCTATCATTGAGGAATAATTAAAGACAAAATTTGAAGTTAAATCATTACTTACCTGAGCTTACTAAAATTGCTTTAAAATCTTCTGTTCTGAACATATCTACGTGAGACTGGGTTTTCTGCTGATAATGTAGAAGAAAATGGTTTAGATATCCTTTATCCTTGTAGCAAGCAACCTCACTTATATTAAACATTGCTATACCTGTTTGTTCAAAGTATGCATATAGACATTAAAACCGGGACTAAGCATTTCTTTCATAACTTTAGAAAAATTGAGGAACACAGAGCTGTAACAGCAATTGTCCATATAAATCTCCCGTAAACATCTTAAATGAACAACACATAGTTTTTATAATTTTTTCCTTGTATGTTGATTATATTAAAACATTTAATGTTTGTTAGGTACAATTAAAAATTGGGGTTAAAGATTTCATTTTTCTAGAAATTCATTTTTTATTTTATTTAATGAAAGTATTAGTCTACAATAAACTTAAGAAAAATAAATAAAAGGTGGTCCCTTCACCACAGACTGAGAGGCACCTGATCCAGAAAAGAGAGTAAATGCTAGGTTAATCATAGCAGGAGGCTCTGCATTCCTCACTGGAATCCATTAAATTAGTGGTCATAGTTACAAAAAAACTGGGGCCAAGAAGTTAAACCTTTCTGAACACAGGGCTAGCAAAATAATAAGGCATTTTGTGAAAGGATTGTTTTTATAGATTCAATTTCCAATTTTCTGCTCTCACAAAGAGCTCAAAACATCCTACATCCACTGTCTTTCCAACCTCTGCTATTCTAACACCACTTAGCAATGAAAAATTGAATAGAACTTAAATCAGAAAGAAATAGGTTCCCACAACTGGCTTTGGTTGATGTACTCGGTTTATTTTCTAAACAGTGTTTTTCTTAGGGAAGAGCCTCTGCCTTAGTATTCTTGCTAGTCTGTAGACTTTGTTCAAGGTCAGGCAGTATTCTCAAATATGTATTGACTCAATTAGTAATAAAGGAAATATATAAAAATTAGAAAAACCTTAGCTTCTTGAGAGCTCAAGACTTCACCATACTCATTAATTAATTTCAGTGGAAATCAAATGAGTCACCATACTCATTAACTCATTTCGTTAAATTTGTTCTTGAAGTTAATTTTCTCATTGGGAAAAATTACCAAACTCCTTGCTATTCCTCACACTATGCCAAATCTTTGATAGGCCTAAATTTACAGACTGAGTTCAGAATAAGAAGCCCACATTTACATTCAGAGTTTAAAGCCACCTAATATCTGAGGTCACTGACCAAAAACAGCTGCCACATTTCCCAGTGGTGAGTGAAATAACCCAACTTAAGAAAAACATGCCCACAAAGTCAGACCCAACTAACCAAAGTCTGACTTTGAAACGGGTTAACATGTTCGCACTGCTGCAATAAAGTTAACTACTCAACACCACTAAAGGAAAATACTTAACTTTTTAATGAAATAAAACTAGTAACCCTGATATCTACTTGAATGAATGCTTCAGGAGGACAGAGCATTTTGTGTTTTGTTTAAACATCTGCAGAAAGATGATCAAAGTAGTTATGTTCTTTCCAGTATCTAGAGGCTAGGAAAATAGACACACTGACTTATTGGGTTCAAAGCTTTGAAGTAGAACACAAAGTTTTAGATGGTTATGTTTACAGCTTCTCTATATGAAATTAAATATTCAGTAAGAGTGTAAGGTCTGAGGAGATATGTAATGGAAAAAAACACAATGGTCAAAAGAAGGAGAAACAGTTTCAAATACTGTTCTATGATGTATATATTTTATACTCATTTATATATTTTAAAGAATCAAAACTGGGAAATGTTAAAACTGATATTTGATCATGACCTTGGATAACAATTATCTAATTCTTACCTTTCTCCAAAAAATTGGGCATATTTCTTCCCAGGTGGGAATATAATGCTTTGGTATTTACAGAATAGCCAGTTACCTGCTTTGTACATGAGTCAGTGAACCATTATATAAAATGTGTATCTGACACACCGCAGCTCCCAAAGAATGAATTTACCACTGACATCAAGGATTACTGTCAGCAGACATTTTACAAAATATGATATTTAATGAAATTCATACTTTTAAGCAATCATTTCAGTAAAGAAATTGACTGTTATAGATGATGTATGACAATAGATTCAGAACTGGTTAGAGTTGAACTTGAGCATTACATTTTCAAGCTATTTGCCAAACAAACCCTAAAGCTCATTTTATTTCAAGTGAAAACATCATGAAAAAAGTCACATTACATTGGCTAACAAGGTCAGTGACATATGTAATGATCAACTTTATCACTTAACATTTCACAAGACTTTTTATTGGTTTTTAAAAAGCAGTTAATATTTTAAGATACAGTATATAAACAAAATAGCCATATCTTGATTTTTTCCAACATGAAAATGCTAATTTCCTTTCAAACCAGTTCCTGGACTACAACTACAACGACACAAGGTCATCTTGGAGTAAAATTCAGCTCGTGACACACACTTCTGTGGCGACTGTAACAGTTAACACTTGTCCTGTACCTAGGTGAACACTGATCCATTGGAGGCCACTGAATAAAAACGTCTTCAATCTCATTTGCTATTTTATTGAGTATTCTACTAATTTACAGAAGAGCTGAGCCTTTCCTTCTCCTATTCCTTTTATAACTTCTGATCCAGTTTACTGCGTTTTTCCTCCTATATGTTCTCATAATCTTTAAATGTATCTGTTTCCATTCACTTTATGCCTAAATGCTTCCCTATGATTTATCAAATGTGTAGAAATGGGTGTAAACTGGTGTTTTTCAAAGGCCAAAGTATACAAATTCATTTATTAAGATTAGGTCTAAATTGCTTTCATCGAGATTATTCAAAGGATTTTTGCCTTCATTAAAAATTATTTCAAAAATATGACATCCATGTTTGTTCATCAATAAGGGTTTAGGCCTATCCAACTTTTTGCTAATACAAATTCGAGCAATGTCTTCTTTTAAGCTAAAAATGGTTATCTTTCCCAATAAATGTGTAACAATACAATAGGGGTGTCACTTTTTTAAGGATGTTAAAAATTATGGAAAACAGAGGTTCAATTACAAAAAGCCAGTTAGCACAAGTCACCAAGTTATGATACAATTTTGACTGGGACCTATGCAGTGCTACTTGGCCTTTAAAATACCAACAAAAGGAATGGGGGATGAATCACAGAAAGTATTCCCTTAACTGTGAAACTTCAATGTGGATGTACACTGATTACATTCTATTTCAGGTACTTGTATAACTGTAAAGATATTATATTACGAAGAAACACAGCTGGAAGTCTGGGCTTCTGCATTGTAGGAGGTTATGAAGAATACAATGGAAACAAACCTTTTTTCATCAAATCCATTGTTGAAGGAACACCAGCATACCATGATGGAAGAATTAGGTAATAATGACTAACAAAAAAAAAAAAAAACTTAAATGTTGTTTCATAAATGCGAAAGTTTGGCCTATTTGAGATAAGGCATGTATTTATTATACTTTGTGGGGATTTAAACTATTTATATAGCATTCAACTTCTGAGAAATCCAAAATAATTATACATGTTCTTGGCACCATATTACAACTTCCCATACATTCTCCTCTAACATAGGCTGAATGGATATTGAGATTGAAGAATGTAAATAAGAGGCAAGAAATATCTAAATTAGAAGTTCATATAATTAAAATGGTCAGATGTAGGAAAAGCTAGGACCACTAAAATAAACTTTGATTAGCTTCAGCAATGAATTAAAATATTAATCATCTCTTTGTTTTTCTAGATGTGGTGATATTCTTCTTGCTGTCAATGGCAGAAGTACATCAGGAATGACACATGCGTGCTTGGCAAGAATGCTGAAAGAACTTAAAGGAAGAGTTACTCTAACTATTGTTTCTTGGCCTGGCACTTTTTTATAGAATCAATGATGGGTCAGAGAAAAACAGAAAAATCACAAGCTAAGTTGAAACACTGTATTTATCTTGTCAGTTTTTATATTTAATGAACACATTGTACAAATTTCAGGAAAAGTATGATCTAATGAAAGCCAGTTACACCTGAGAAAATTAGATTCCAAAAAAAAAAAAAAACTACTAGTTTTTCTTTTTTCAGTGTGGAAGATTTCTCATTACTCCACAACTCTGTTTATATTTTTTATTCAATAAAAAGCCCTAAAACAGCTAAAATGATTTGTATAACCCACTGAATTCAAACTGATTTAAATTTAAAATTTGGTATAGGCTGAAGTCTGCCAAGGGTACATTATGGGCATTTTTAATTTAAAGCCAAAAGATTTTTTTAAATGCATTGCTGAGAAACGTTGTTTTCATCAAACAAGAAATAAATATTTTTCAAAAATTATACTTGTCTTTTAGTATGTGATACTAATTAAGGTTACCTATAGTACCATTTAAAAGATCCTAGTAATTTATTCTTTCAAATATCATGTTGTTACCATCACTGACAAATATCTCCTAGGGTTATCCCTAAAAATGCTCAGAGAATTAGAAACTTGTTTTCTTAGTTTTAATACGAAATGGCTAAAGCTCTTATTTTTTTCCACAATAGTTAGTAACTGCATAAAAACTTGTGCTCCTCTACCAATGGGCTTTGGAAAACGCATCACGAAGGCCAAACCAGCTTGACCCTGGCTTTTATAGATGGTCATGAGGCGATTCAAATAATTTGTGTGTGTCACAATAAAGAGTGTTTGTACATGTGCCTCCTAGAAACTACGCTAAGGGCAATTTATTTCATAGAGGCCACCCAAATGCCTTATAGGTTTTATTAATCTGGATATGAAAGTGTACCCCATTTAGCTTCACCAGGAACCCAAATTTAGAACATTGAAAAGCTGTCATCAAAAAGTTGTGATATCGAAAATGTGTAAGTAAGTAAAATTCTCTTAAGATACTAAGCAAGAGTGTCACAGCAGTAATGATAAAGACTAGTTTTAATCTCAAGCCTTAGAAGGGACCCTTTGTTGCCTCTTGTACAGCCTCTTACAAGACTGGTATTTGGTTAACAACAACAAAAACTGGTTAAGGTGGAACCTTGACCTTTTATCAGATATTGTATAGGTACAAAGCTAACACAGGCTCTTTGGATTCCCTGTTAAGTGACTCATTCACATTCCTTTCTTGGATATAAAGTCATTGCTGTCTTTTTATTTTTTAAATATTACAAGACAAAGATTTTTAACTTAACATGAAAAATTCACTCTTTTATTTTGGAAAAAAAGGTTAACTTTTCATACTAACAGAACAAGATTTAACGTAAATTTCTTAAACATTATCCAGAAAAATAACAAGATTTATAGTATCTACTTCTGGTACGAATAGACACAAAAGGCCAAAACCACGCCTATTCTGCAGGTGTAGCTTCGGTGCTCTCCTGTTCAGGGGCAGGCTCACTGCCAGCTTCTTTTCCTTCTTTGCTTCTTTTAGATTTTTTGTGTTTGTGTCTCCTGTGACTATCTCCTTCTTCACTTTCATGGCGACGTCTACTATTACTGAAAAAAAACAAAACGTGTTCTGTTTAAATGCACAATCGGTGACAAAACCACTCTAAGGAAATTCTGAAAACAACACTGAGTTTAAAATAATGCATTTTCTCATAAATGCAGTGTGGGGAATAATCAGTTTTTATGTGACTTTTATGTAGTGATTATATTATAGGGTCATCTTCACTGATATCTCAGATTCCCAGTGTCTATACAGCTTATTCTAAATGCATATTATAATTTACAGTAACAGAAACAAGCACTACTGGGAATACTGTATAGGGTTGATTTCTGGCAAACAATAGTTATTTTAATGCTTTTAAAAAAATGTGCAACAAAGCCCTGAATTTTTCTTTAATGAAACCAAGCACTGCTTTGATTCGTAACTTATTAAAGATTGGTTCATAGGCCAAAATTTCCCCTCTTCCAATGTGATAATGTAGTAAGTCAAAATCTCTCACATACTACTGGTTCACTATTTATTAAAGAGCAAACCTTCGAGAAGACTTATGTCTGGTTTCCTCTTTCTCCCGGTGTCGTCTTTCTCTATGTCGTTCTTCTTTCTCTCGACTTGCTCTGTGACGCTCATAACCTCTTTCTGCATACTCCCTGTATCTGTAGCGTTCTTCATCACTGAAACAGAAATAGAAATGTTTTCTTGACAACTGGACCATTAATTCTGAATGGATTCAAACTGTAAAAGAAAATATGATCTGAAGTCCAAACCAAAAATCCCTACATTAGCATCTTTTACAACATTGGTGAGGAATAAATATTTGTTGAATTGAGAGGAAAACAATGCTTGTTCTCAAAATAGCACTAGAGCTAAGAATATAAATATATAATAATTACCCATGTTAAATGGCCAATTTCATTCTGTGCTTTCATTGCTGTTAAAAAGATTTAACAATGCTTTTGTTTTTTCGTTTCTTGAAAATGAGATCTGCAACTGATTTAAATTATCAGCTTTTAAAATTTTTGCTCCTTTTAGATTATCTGTATATCTCAGATTTCTAACCAACATTCTTAGAGTCTTGGACACACATAAAACATTATAAAAATATACAACTCCCAATGACTACAAAGCAGAAAGCAAACGAAGTTTTTAAACTTTAGGTTTATCATTAAAAAATATTCAAATAGAGAAGAGACATCAAAGCAACTTCTACAGTATCCATACAAAATGCAGACTGGACGTACCTGCATTCTGACACCCTAATTACGTGTGTACGTGTGTGCGCGCGCACGTGCATGCACCACATGGCTAATAACTTCAACTGCGTAAGCTGCATCTCCATTTTCTGATTTTAGATTGAATTACACAGACTGGTAAAACTGAGACTAATGGCTAGTGTTAGAGGGTGGTCTTTCCTTTCCCTAGACCGGTTTTCCTTTCATGTCACTTAACTGACATTCTCTTTCCATCTTTTTCCTTATCCTTCAAGTCTCTTATTTCTTCTCTTCTCTTTGTCTAGCATAGAAATCAACACCTTGTACAACCTAACAGTAAATTCACTTAGAATAAAATCTTTCAGAAGAGTATGCTGAAGAGCTTTGATTTCTAGAAATGTTTAATATGAATTATTAAACTAGTAATTTGTATGAAACATCAAGATGGTAAGGAATCTCAGGGTTTAACATAGGTGACAATTATAAGCCATGTTTTAAAAGACATGTCAGCCTGTGTTTTAGCAAAAGTAATGATTCAGTAATGCTATGCTTAATGCCCAATGGTACTGCTAACCAAGTTATTATATGTGGTATATTAAAATTTTAGAATCTTATTTAAAAAACAGAATGTATTAATATATCCATTTGCACATATGTGTATATGTATTTCCACTATTTTTCCTCACCATAAATATTAACTTTGTACTTGGAGTGTGGAAGCATGTTGCCTGAAAGGTAATAGCCATGCCAGTCAGTAGAGAGCAGCAGAAAAGAGTATAAGCAGAGTACACACAGAATCACATCCTGATCTCGTCACTTACTGAGTGACCCAGGCTATTATTTATCCTCTCTAAACCTCAGTTTTCTCATCTGTAAAATTGCCAACAGTCTTTTTAAAGGTTTCTGTAGAACTGACATTTATAAAGTGCTTGGTATGAGAGCAGACACTCAATAAATGGTAGTCTTTGGTGAATTTAGTGCTTAATTTTTTCAGAAGCAGAACTTTTTATTACCATGTCTTGAAGTAGAATAAACTAGCTTCATAGGAAATATAGTTAACTCCTCTCCAAAAGTGAGGCTTTTCAATGACTCCAACTAGATTTACATAGAAATAATTAAAGTCAATTATCTCATAATGCATCATTTATAACCCTCTCTTTTTCCACTTACCCTAAAACCAACCTCTGTTGGCTTTGGAGCCTTTAGATTCTGAAAGCAGCCCTGTGATGGGAACCTTATAACAGATGGTAGAAGATTGAGTCCTACACACAAAATATAAAGACCTTCCTCCTTCCATCCCCTTTTCTGATAAGTGGCTGAACCACAAAGGTTTTTCTGGACCTGGAAATCATTAAAGCTCATTTCAAACATCCTAAAATGACCAGCCTTCTTTCTGGCCCATAATTAAGCTGCCTAAAAAACAGATGTTGAAACTGGTCTATAATTTTCAAAACAATGGCCCTATAATTTGTAAAGCAACATATACTACATGTCATACTGCTAAAATATCAGCCTTCGGAAACCTTTACTTATACTACACTTGAATTTTCCCAGGTATAAGTTTTTCCTTGGATAATTCAGAGCAACCCAAAATTCCTCTACTTTTTGCCTCTCTGGCCTTAAACATTTTAGTCAAATTTAGGTAAACATTGACTGCTAATGCCCTACAGCTCAGCAACCTGAATGTCATTAACAGTTTTAAGTTTCAATAAGAACTCAGTAATATCTGTGATATATTTAAAGTAGAATTAGAGGATTTAGCCAAATCTTCTACAATGTATTATTTATGCAAAAATTTATGAGCTCTGGCAATTTATCTTACTCTTATTTCCTGTCAAGTTTTGCATTAAGCTCCTTACCTATAAACATGTACATTCTAGAGATATCAATGCTATCTCAAATATACTCATTTCTACAATAGAAACAATTTGACTCTCTGGAAAGTAATGCCCTTAAACTTGAAAAATCATGTACTTAAATAAGCTAAAGTCAACAGCACATTTCCCACCAAGCAAACACGAACAATATACTCATGCACACACACTTATCATAGTGTTTACTTATTTGGTTAATAAAATTTTATTAAGTACCTACAATGTGTAAGTCATATTAGTAGGAGCCAAAGGAAAGAAAAAAGATTAATAAATCCTTATAAGTTCCTTCTTATGCATTTTTTTAATGTAACGTTTTAAGCTACCAACCAAACCTAGTCAGCTTGAAAATATGAGGGCTCTTCATAAGTTCATGGAAATGCATCTTATGAAAAAATTATGCGTGATTTCCTTTTTTTGCAACAAAATAAACTCAGTAATTTGTTACAGTATCTCTGAAAAGGACCTAGTTTGAGGCACTAAGGTAACGGTTTGGAGTTCCATGAGCCACATCCATATAAGTCAGCAAACTTAATAAATGTACATGTTCTTGACTGATCCACTTTTTAGTTCCTCCCTTTCACTATCCTTAGGTCTCCCTACTCCCTGAGAAACAACAATGTTGAAATGAGGTCAATTAATAAACCTACAATGGCCTCTGTGTGTTCAAGTGAAAGGAAGAGTGGCACATCTCTCATTTTAAATCAACAGCTAAAAATGAGTAAGCTAAGCATGATGAAGCTTGGAGAGGAAGGCATGTCAAAAGTAATGATAGGCTAAAGTCTAGGCCTCAAACACCAAACAGCCAAGTTGTCAAGCCAAAGAAAAAGCTGAAGAAAATTAAAAGTGCTACTTCGGTGAACACATGAATGGTCAAGAAAGTGAAAAGTCTTATTGCTGATATGGAGAAAGTTTAAGTGTCTGGATAGAAGAACAAACCAGCCACACAGCATTCCCTTAAACCAAAGCCTAATCCAGAGCAAGGCCCAAATCTCTTCAATTATATGAAGGCAGAGAGAGGTGACGGAGCTGCAGAAACAAATGGAAGGTAGCAGAGGTTGGTTGGTTTATAAGGATTAAGGACAGATGCTGTCTATGAAACATAAAGGTACAAGGTGAAGCAGGAAGTTCTGATATAGAAGCTACAAGTTATCCAGAAGATCTAACTAAAATCACTGATAAGTGGCTCCACTAAACAACACATTTTCAGTGTAGATTAAATAGCCTTATACTGGAAGAAGATGCCATCGTGACTTTCATGGCTGGAGAGGAGAAGTCAATGCCTGGCTTTGAAGTTTCAAGGGACAGGCTGACTCTTGTTTCCCAGCGCATTGTTCCTTAATGTAGCTGGTGTTTGTAAGTTGAAGTTGGTACTAATTTGCCATTCTGAAACTCCCAGAGTCCTTAGTCCTTAGGCTAAATGGACTCTGCCTGTCTCTATCAATGGAAAACCAAAGCCTAAATGGCAGCACATCTGTTTACAGGATGGTTTACTGCATATTTTAAGTATTCTGAACAAACTGTTTTTTCCTAACAATAGTAATACTCAAGGGAGATGGAGGAAAGCTCCTCCGTCTCATTAAAGGATGTGGTTCTATTATATTATTTTCAAAATTTACAGTATATGTATATAGTCATGTGTCAGTTAATGACAGGGATGTGTTCTGAGAAATGCATTACGAGGTGACTTCATTGTTGTGCAAACACCAGAGTGTCATTATACAAACTTTGATAGTATAGCCTATTATACACTAGGTTATATGTTATAGCCTATTGCTCCTGGGCTTCAAATCTGTACAGCATATTATTGCACTGCATTCTGTAGAAAATTGTAACACAAAATGTTTACATTGTTTATCTAAACATATCTAAAGAAAAGATACAATAAAAATAGTATTGTAATCTTATGAAACTAATGTACATGTGGTTTGCATTGACAGAATATAAAAATTGAATATAAAAATAGCTAAAATCAGGATAAAAATTTTTAAAACACTTATAAGACAAATGTCTTTAAACATTTAAACTTATATAATAAGTGTGCTACAGGAAAGACTGATAGGAAAACCCATTTTAAAAGTTTTAAGATTATGAAACTTTTATATTAGAACTAAATTCTTTGGGGGAAGTGGTATAGAAGTAAAAATTTGAACACGAAAAGAAATGTAAAATTTCTAACTCTTAAAAGAGATACTATTTATGCATTTTCTTCACTGCTTAATGGTGTTTGGAAAATCACTATCATGTTTTTAATCCACTGGATAGATTAAAAGAGTTAGCCTCGGCAACATAGCAAGACCCTGTCGCTACAAAAAAATTTTAAAAATGAGCCATGCATGGTGATGCATGCCTGAAGTCTTAGCTTCTTGAGAGGCTAAGCCAGGAGGATCACTTAAGCCCAGGATTTTCTACATTAGAGAGCAATGCACTAGGAAACAAGAGAGTCAGCCTGTCCTTTGAAACTTTGAAGCCAGGCACTGACTTGTCTTCTCTAGCTATTAAAGTCTTAGATGGCATCTTCTTCCCATATAAGACTGCAGTGAACTATGATCATGCCACTGAATGCAATCCAGGCAGGCTAAGTGACAAAGCAAGATCCTGTCTCTAAAAACTGAATAATAATAAAAGTGGCGATAATTTTATTTTTAATATTAATATTAATATTGGAAATATCTATATGGTCAACACTGGAAATATCTATATGGTCAACTAAGCTTAAGATGAAAACCTTAGATGGCAAGATAAAAGCAAGTGAAGGTGTGGAAAATTCTTTTAAAAGATAGTGAACAAACAAATTTAAAGACTGCTGTTCAAGGTAATGGAAAGCCTCTAATCCCTAATCATTTTAAGATAGCCTGTCCTAAGTACGCCCTCAGCATCTCTTTTCCAAATGAATTGAAATTCACCTCCTGGTAACAAAAATAAAATTGAGAGTCGTTATAAAATAAATAGTATAAACTCTTGCACACCCAACAAACCTGTTGAAAACACTCGGTGTAGGACTGTGATCACGCTCCCTCTCTCTCTCTCTGGTGCGTTCTCGTTCTCTATCCCGATCACGGTCTCGCTCTCGGTCTCTGTCTCTTTCTCTATCTCGGTCTTTCTCTCTTCTGGCATAATAGTCCCACTGCTTGCTGGTGTCCACAAGACTAGGCCATGAAGGAGCAGAACCAGGAAGATGGGGAAAGGCAACTAAAGAAAAAATACAATTAAAAACAAGTATTATGGTACTTGAAAGAAACAAAGGAAATGCCCACCAAAAATGTGTCATTAGATTATAATACAAATTAATTTTATAAATAGAAAAGAGAAATATCACATGGTGAATGAATACCCACAGTATCAGGAGAAGATCCAGAAACAAATCTTAAAAGACCTAACATATACAGACCCTTCATTATGCAAGGTAAATACGAATCAGAATTAGGTTGACCACAAACTTCCCAACATAAAAAATGGAAACCAGAATACACTGGGACATCTTCAGTGTTGAGAAGAGAAATACACCAGGACAGTGTTGAGAGGAGGCCAGGCATGATGGCTCACGCCTGTAATCCCAACACTGGGAGGCCAAGGTGGGCAGACTAGCCTGGTCAACATGGTGAAACCCCGTCTCTACTAAAAATATAAAAATTAGCCAGATGTGGTGGTGCACACCTGTAATCTCAGCTATTTGGGAGGCTGCGGCAGGAGAGTTACTTGAACCTGGGAGGCAGAGGTTACAGTGAGCAGAGATTGTGTCACTGCACTCCAGCCTGGGTGACACAGCAAGACTCTGTCTCAGAAAAAAGGAAAAAAAAGTCTTGAGAAAAAAATATCAACCTAGAAAAGTGTACTCAGCATTTTATTTCAAGAATAAAACAGCCAGTGTAAACAAAAATAAGCAAAATTTACAACCAACAGACTTCACCAAAAGATCAGACATCCTTAAAGAAAAAGAAAAATTATCCTAGAAGATCTAAGTTAAAAAGAAGTAATGATTGAACAAATGGTAATCATATATACAAATCCAAACAAATAATATATGCTATTCAATAATATAATTTTTTTTAAACAATAAAACTATAATAAACCAAAATACAAGCAAATATAAGTTAGGAGAGAAAGATTAAGGTCTCTGTATTGATGGAGAAAGATGTTCAAATTATATGAAACTACATATTGTTAAGCATGAATAATAACTTTCAAGTGTAACCACAGGAAAAACAAAATGTATAGTTTCAAAACAATTTAGAGTAAAATAGAATTTTTAAAAAATCAGTGAGAAAGTCAATTCAAGAAGACTTGAGAAAGATATAGATGGAAAGTTAACTTCAAATAGCTAAATAATCTCAGTCATAAAAAGGGACTAATTCATCAGTTACAAAACAAAGGTGTTGATTTGTACTTTTTAAAAACCTAACTATAATCTGAATACAAACAACATAAAAACACACAGAAAGGTTGAAAGAAAAAAGATGAGGAAAAAAATCTATAACCCCTGATCAAAAATAAGTAGCTTCATTAATGACAGAACAGACTCATACAAAAAGCATTACCTAGGAAAGAAAGGATGATCACATAAAGATGGACCATGCAATTTACCAAGGAAACAGAACAAATTTAAACTTCCAGGTAGATAACATCATCGTAACTTTGAGAAAGTAAAAACTAATAGAAATACAGGTAGAAATAGAGAATCCCATCATGATCATGGGAGATTAACATACTTCTCTCAATTATTGGTAGATTAAGTGGACAAAAAAATCAGTACAAACATAGAAGTGGTTTGTTTTTGTTTTAAGAGACGAGGTCTTGCTGTCACCCAAGCTAGAGTACAGTGGTGTATTCATAGCTCACTGCAGCCTTGAACTCTCAGGCTCAGCCTCCCAAATAGCTAGGATTACAGGCACAAACCACCATGTAAATAAAGACTTGAGCTACATGTTCTTAGCATGGTTAATTTAATGGACATCACATAGGATACTGCCCATAACAAAGAATACTATTCTTCTCAAGCACAGATGAATACAACAGATAACCCCCATGCAATTCAAGTTAGAAGTCAAATTCAAAAGTTTTGAGAAAATAATCCCTAACCATTTCAAATTAAAAACACACTTCTGATAATTCATGGGACAAAAATATCATAAATTTAAATCATTAGGAACTAAACATAGACTAAAAATAAGACATATCAAAAGTTTAGGGATACAAATTGTTTCAGAAAGAAATTTAGTCTTCAAACACCACATTAGAAAAGAGTAAAAATTAATGTGCTAAGTCTCCAATAAAAGAACTCAGAAAAACAGAATAATCCAACAAAAGGGGAATAACAAAGAATGGAAATCAAGTACATAGAGAACTACCATATGACAGAAAAAAGCAGAAAGTTGGTTTTTGAAGACTAGACATGAAATTAAACATGACAATTTTATGAAAAAATTAAGAAAAAAGAGAACATATGAACAGTATCAGAAGCAAAAAGGGATCACAACTACAGACAACGCAGATTAAACAATAAAGAGAATATTGTGCACCTTATACTAACGCACTTAAAAACTTAGCTGAAATGGATTAACTCCTAAAAATAAAAATTCACCAAACAAAACTGACTCAAAAATGAAAAGAAGTCTTAAACAGTCTCACAACTATTAAACAAATTAAATCAGTAATTTAAAATCTTCCTACAAGGCCAGATGCCTTTTATGGTTGAGTGAAGGTACAAACCATTCCAATATCATACAAACTCCCAGCAGAGAGAGAGAGAGAGAGAGAGAGAGATTATTCCCTGACTTATCCCAAGTGGCTGGTATAATCTTGGTGCCAAAATCAGGTAAGGGAAGTATAAATAAAGAGAAATCCTAAGCCAATCTTATACATATAAACTTTGATGTCAAAATCCTAAATAAGAAACATATTATCAGTATTTATCTAGAAAAAAAAAGATTATCATGAGCAAGTTAGGTTTATTTTGGCAAATCAACAGTAGCTCAACATTAGAAGAATGTAGAAATGTAATTTGTCACATTAACAGATTAGAGAAGAAAAACAATTATGATCATTTCAGAATGCATTTCATACAACTCAGTATCTATTCACGGTTTATAAGCCTTTGGAAAATTAGGAGAGGAACAGAATTTCCTTAATCTGATGGTTCTATCAGAAACCTAACAGTAAATATCTAGAAGCATTTCCTTTATAAAGAAAAAAGGAATCATACAAGAATTCCACTTTGAGAACTTCCACATTATAATGTTGTTATAATTTAATTTGTTATAATATAATATTGTTATTTATACTCGAGGTTTGTGCCACAACAAATAAAACAATAAAAAGGGATGAACAAGGATCTCAAAAAAGGAACAAAACTGTCGTTATCTGCAAGCATATTTCCTAAATAGACAACAAATTATAGTGAGAGTTCAGCAAGGTAAATGGCTATAAAAAACAACCAACCAAACAACTATTTCTGAATACAAGAAATATAAACAGAACACATAGTTCATATATTTATACCACTTATAACAGCAACAAAAATATTAGGTACCTAAGGACTAAATCTAACCAAAGACATTCAAGAGGTATATGGAGATAACTATAGCAGTTTATTGAAAACAAAGAACACCTCTGTAAATGCAGAGAAAGTCCTTGGGCACTGATAAACTCAATGCTGTAAAGGTATGAATTCCACACAGACTGATCTAGAGCATCAATACAATTTTAATATGGTATAGTAAATAAAAGCAAGGGCTCTGAAGCCTGGCAACATAGGTTCAAATCCTGACTCTGCCACTTACTGTGTGATAAGTGGAAATTAATACTTCTATTTCCTCATCTATAAAATGGAGATAGTAACTATATACCTATTTTAAAACTCTCTCAGGATTACATAAATTGCTCCAAAGAGCACTATATAAATGTTATTAATCAAAATCTCAACAGTTTTTCATGGAACTTGCAAAGTTGAGTCTAAAATACATATGTAAAAGCAACAATTGATTTGGCTGTACAAGATAACATTTACTATAAAACTCATATTTAAAGATACTATGGAAGTTATTAGCACAGGGATAGTTAACCAACTGAATATCTAGAAAGCTCAAAGCCAGATTCATACACATATGAAAATGCAGTAGATGACAGAGATGACAACTGTAGCTTCCTCAGGAAAGACAGACTATTCAATAAATGATTTGAGAACTGTTAGATCTTTATATCAAAAAATTAATTTCAGATGGGCAAATGACTTAAATGTGAAAAGCAAAACTTGGAAACTTTTCCTGGGAGAAAAAAAGTATTAAAGAGTATCTTTATGTACTTGAGGCAAAGAAAGGCATGTTCTAAATATAAACTCCACTAAAATGTGGTTAGACTTTACATAACTGATGACACAAGGAACAAAAATGGTACAGGTTGAGATTTCCTAATCTGAAAATCCAAAATACTCCAAAATTCAGAATTTTCTGAGAGCCAACACAATGCCACAAGTAGAAAATTGCACACCTGCTCTAATGTGATGGTTATCAGTCAAAATAGAGTCAAAACTTTGTTTCTAAAGTAAAATATTGAGTAAAATTACCTTCAGGCTATAGATATAAGCTGTACATGAAACAAAAGAATTAATTTCATATTTAGACTTGGGTTTCATCCCCAAGATATCTCATTATGTATATGCAAATATTCCAAAATAAACATCCGAACTCCAAAACACATCTCCCAAGCATTTCTGATAAGGGATACTCAACTTGTAATTTGAATTATTTGCCATGTAACTTTCTCCCTTGAGGAGCTAAGATATATAATTATCTCTGCAATGCACATTATTTACAATAATGTAACTGCTATTTATTGTTTAGCTTTTAGAATAAAAAATCTGTCAGAACACAAAAACATTTTGTTACAAGACAAAATGTAAATGTAAGAAAAAGTATAATTGAGCAAAGCTGGGTGGTGGGGGAAGAAGAGTTCAGTAAAGGCTTAGAAAGATATACTAATATTCTCATTTTATCACAGTCGAATGGTACATGAAACAGAGAGCAAGCATATAAAAGAGGTGCAAAAATAGTAATATAATTTTACTGGTGGGAGAAAAAAGAAGGGTAGTAATGACAACTGAGCAAAATACACATCCATCATAACAGAAAGATAACAGATGGTATCTAAAGTTATATAGTCAAGAAATGAGGTGATAAGCATATGTAGAAATTCTATGGAGACCACTGAGAGAACTAAAAACAAACCATCAAAAATGCTGGTCTCTGTAGTTGTTTAATATTCCTGCAAAATCTATTTTTTAACGAGGTTTTATTTCATAAGCAGTCTGCCCATGCAAATGAGGAAATATTAGTATCTCCATCTATAATTACTATCGCGTAAGACTGAATTATAAAATTCCAAAATAAGTAAAAGAAAACAAAGGTAAAAAAGAATCACCAACATAAAAGCTGTATTTTTCAAATACATTCTAAAGCCCTGTTTTACTAGAAAACCTGTAACTTTCCTCTATTTAATTCTTGCAATATGGTTTATGATTGTTATTACTAAAGAAGCTTTCCATTAAAAAAACAAGACCTTTCCTCTGAGAGAAGAGTTAAGGTGAAAAAAACTACCTTAAGCTTCATATGGAACCAAAAAAGAGCCCACATAAACAAGACAATCCTAAGCAAAAAAAATAAAGCTGGAGGCATCACGCAGCCTGACTTCAAACTATACTAAAAGGCTACAGTAATCAAAAGAGCATGGCACTGGTACCAAAACAGAGATATAGACCAATGGAACAGAACAGAGGTCTCAGAAATAACTCTACACATCTACATCCATCTGATCTTTGACAAACCTGACAAAAACAACCAATGGGGAAAGGATTCCCTATTTAATAAATGGGTTGGGAAAACTAGCTAGCCATATGCAGAAAGCTGAAACTAGATCCCTTTCTTACACCTTATACAAAAATTAACTCAAGATGGATTAAAGATTTAAACATAAGACCTAACACCATAAAAACCCTAGAAGAAAACCTAGGCAATACCATTCAGACATAGGCACGGGCAAGGACTTCAAAAGCAATGGCAACAAAAGCCAAAATAGACAAATGGAATCTAATTAAAATAAAGAGTTTCTGCACAGCAAAAGAAACTATCATTAGAGTGAACCGGCAATCAATGGAATGGGAAAAAATTTTTGCAGTCTATCCATCTGACAAAGGGCTACTATCAAAAATCTACAAACAACTTAAACAAATTTTTAAGAAAAAAACAACCCCATCAAAAAGTGGGTCAAGGATATGAACATACACTTCTCAAAAGAAGACATTTATGTAGCTAAAAGAACATGAAAAAAAAGCTCATCATCACTGGTTATTAAGGAAATGCAAATCAAAACCACCTTGAGATACCATCTCATGACAGTTACAATAGCAATCATTAAAAAATCAGGAGACAACAGCTTCTGGAGAGGATGTGGAGAAACAGAACACTTTTACACTGTTGGTGGGAATGTAAATTAGTTCAACCATTGTGGAAGACAGTATGGCGATTCCTCAAGGATCTAGAACTAGAAATACCATTTGACCCAGCAATCCCATTACTGGTTATATACTCAAAGGATTACAAATCATTCTATTATAAAAACACATGCACATGTATGTTTACTGTGGCACTGTTCACAATAGCAAAGACTTGGAACCAACCCAAATGCCCATCAATGATAGACTGGATAAAGAAAAGTTGGCACATATATATACTATGGAATACTATGTAGCCTTAAAAAATATGAGTTCATGTCCTTTGCAGGGACACGGATGAAGCCGGAAACCATCATTCTCATCAAACTGACACAAGAACAGAAAAACAAATACCACGTATTCTCACTCATAAGTGGGTGTTGAACAATGAGAACACATGGACACAGGGAGGGGAACATTACATACCAGGATCTGTTGGAAGGTGGGGGGCTAGGGGAGGGATAGCAGGGGACGGGAGGCTAGGGGAGGGATAGCATTAGGAAAAATACCTTATGTAGATGATGGGGTGATAGATGCAGCAAACCACCATGGCACATATATACCTACATAACAAACCTGCACGTTCTGCATGTGTACCACAGAACTTAAAGTATAATAATAAATAAAAATTTAAAAAAATATTCCATAATGAAACTGAATAGGTAATCTCAAGAATTACTCTCTCTTTCTAATATGAACTATTCCTCATGTTTATCTGTATTGAAACAAATATACAAGGAACTGAATAACAAAATAGAAACTGGCAAGTCTCATTAAAAAAGTAAAAATCAAACTTTAATAAGTGATGCTCACCAAATGCTTACATATTAAAGGCACCATGCCAAGTACTTAATAACCAAAGTTCATTTTACAGATGGGGAAAAAAAAGGATGTACGTTATTATTCAAAGTCACTAAGATGAGATGAACCCAGGACCCAAACCTAAGCTGTGTAAATGCAGGGCCTATGCTTTAACAATGATGCTACACTGTCTCAAGAGTGCAGAAAAGGAGGCGGGGGGAGGGGTTTGGAGCTTGTTGGAGATGGGGGTGATAATTATAAAAATAAGAGCTAACATTTGATGGTTTACTAAATGGCAGGACTAAGGTGCTTAAATGTATTTCAATGAACTCCACATTAAAAGAAACAATTGAACTGTCCATTTAATAACTGAAAATCTTCAAGTCACATAAATAGTAAAGGTCGAAGCAAGACTACAATCCAAGGACTATGATTACCTAAATATCTAGCAAAAAAAGGGGAGGAGAAGGAATACAGTCACTGAAACAAGTAAGTCAACATAAATACCATCTTTTGTAGTGAATGAATGGCAAGTAGAGTTTTGAACAGGTAGAGTCTGAAGCACAGTACAATACCCTGATAGAGATACCTATAAGTGTATGACTGCTGTTTCCAATTTATCACTAAGACTTATAGATTCTATCAAAAAAGTCCATTCTGTCCTTTCAAGTCCATTCAATTTTCTCTATCTACATTGTCAACATTACTAAATACATAACATCCTAATTTTTTACCATGGATTACTTCTGTAGGAGACCAGAATGCGTCACCCCAAAGCATGCCTCTTTAACATAAGGATTATTTTGAGCTGAAGGTAACTGAGAAGATGCAGATACAAGAAAAGCTCCCGATCCTCCCCAATTTACCTAAAAGCATGACATAAGTTTACAAACACAAAGGCGTCCCTCCTTCTCTCTCTACCAGAAAGGCCAAAAGTTGATCACTGAAGACAAATGTAGCCCCTTATCAGCCTGGACAAGGTACCAGAGGAAACTGCATGAGAACGTTTACCAACTAGCCTTTATTTAGTATGTATTTCTATATATTGCCTTTCCACAATTGGCTGCTCATGAAGACTCAAGGCCCTTTCAAGGCCCTTTTCCTTTTTCTTGTCTCTTCTCTAAAAATTCACTGTTCTGTACTGAAGATGCTATGTAACCTGGATTTCTAAGCCATCTCTTTGAGAACTACTTATTCCCTTGCTATTTCATATATATGTGTGTATATATATATATATGACGTATACATGTTCTTTTCTCTCTTGTTAAGGTGACTTTTAACACAGGGTCCATCCTAAGAACTAGGAAGAGTAGAGAGAAAATTATTTTTCACTCCCCTACATGTTCTACAGCTTCTTATTTTTGTTCCAATCCAAGAAGGCCAACCCCACCTTTCTACTCACCCTCTAAATTCATAAATTCCTCATGGTTACTGGCCAGAATGAAGATTTTTTCAAATGCAAATGTAGCAATTTCACAACTCGGAATAAAACTAACTGGTTCCACACAGCACTCTGAATAAGATCCAAACTCCACAGCATGGCTGTAATGACCCACATAATCACAGTCTCTACATTCCAGCCATAACACACTTTTTCCAATTCATAATACCTACCATGTTCCCTCTCACCCCCTTATCTTTGAATAGTCTGGAAGTCAAATTATCTACCCTTCCATCTCTCTGGAGTAGACCCCTCTGCTGGGCTCCCATGACACCCACCAACTTCTGTTGCCCAGCTATTTCTCCATAAGCCTAAAACTTTTAAGAGGGCAAGTGCTCTATACAGCTTACTATCCTTAAAACTTAGTACAGGTCAGGTGTAGTAGCTCACACCTGTAATACCAGCACTTTGGGAGGCTGAGACAGGAGAACTGCTTGACCCAGCCTAGCTGGGCATGGAGATGCATGACCGTAGTCCCAGCTACTTGGGAGGCTGAGGTGAGAGGATCACTTTAGTTCAAAAGGTCAAAGCTACAGTCAACCATGAGAGTACCACTGCACACCAGCCTAGGCAACAGATGAGACTGTGTCTCAAAAAAAAAAAAATTGGTATAATGCAAACATTTTTGAAATAAAGTACTGATCAAGAGATGCAGACAGTGGTATCAGAAGAGCTTGGAATGGATAAAGTGGCCAAGAATGAACATGATACAGGAAAAAAACTAAACCAGTGAGGGAGAAAGATAGAAATAAGGTTAGATGTATGTAACAAATCAAAAAATAGAAATATTATAAACAATGAAAATTGAGACAAACTGGTGACAAATCCTAAATCCTTTTAGAAAAGGCAAAGTACAAATATCCCTACTGTGTCACCACAGATTAATTTTTAAAAATATAGTTGATAAATACATGAAATTTATTGTTTGCTAAACCAGCAGATACACAGACCATTAATTCCTTCAGTTAATATTTTTCAATTGCTCTGTAAGATATTAAATCATGAACATGTTTTTATTGCTTTAAAAATGTTTAAGTACTTTACTGATTCAAACTGAATCTAGGTGTCTAATACTACTACTTACCATTGCCATATGGAAATGCACGTGCAGAACGACTATCATAACCAGAGGAATGTCCACTGTTGAAGAAAAAGATATATTTTTATGTCTGGTACAAATAAGTTCTGAATTTTCATAATGTAGTGCAAAAAGAAAAACTTAGGGCAAAATTACAAATTTTATCCAACCACCAATTTAATGACAGCTTAGCTATATAATTAATACTAAAACATGGTGGTTTTTTGGACCTAAAAAGTATTAAAATACCTAATTTTACAGAAAAATAGAATGTGCTAAAACTATTTTACATAAATAATCCAATCAATTTAGCTTGAGTCACAAGTAAAGTAACAGAAACTTTCAGGCTATCAGAATATTACAGATTAAAAATTTAGTCTTAAATAATTGGTTTTAATGATTATAAATCAGTAATTCAGCCCCACTGACAGGATCAACAAAGAATACTTTTTAACATTTTGACTGAGAAAACAAATGTGTCTAATAGAGACTTAATAAACCTAAACCCTTATGTTCTTACAATTCATACTTTCTTATTTTATCATTTCCTTTGAAAATCATATGCAGGGTTTGATGCTACTAATGTAAAGTTCTCACAAATTTTGTCTTTTTACATCATTTGAATTATTTTTTTCAGAAACACACTATTTTTAATAGTTTGCTACTTAAAAGGAAATAACAATAGCTCTTATTAGTGATTTCTATCTGCCAAGAATTATACTTGCACTTTATATTTACTAGCTTTTAAAATATACACAACTCTACCAACCCTTTTGATTAAAAAGAAAACTTAGTCTCAAAGGGCTTACGAACCTTGCCTAGCAACACTGTGTGATTTCTATGCTGTTAAACACCATGCTGCCACCCATGAGGGAAATATTCTTTCATACAGCATTCTGGTTAACATAAGCCATAAGTACACGATACAGAAATATGGCTACTGCCTCACAGAATGTATCCAGTCCTTCTTTGTGGAAGTTGAGATGGAGCAGAGTATCAATGAATAAGACAGCTTTTCTTGACTATGGTCCTGTAATAGTTTTCCCTATTTTATCCCAGAAGAGACATGTATTATCCATAATTTCCAGTAATTTATGCTGGTATTTCCCATAAAACTGACTGTAGCTGGGTTTTTAACAGTCTAGGAGTTTGTCTAATCAAATGTGTCATAAATCAAAGCAAAATATTATTTCAAAATATTATAATTCTAGTTTTCTTTGCCCTGTTTTGATATCAGGCTACAGGTCCAACATCTTATATAAAACTAACATAGATCTAGATTTACAAATTACAAGACAGATGCTGTGTTTACAAAATTAAATCTCTGAAAATATTTCCAAGATATGTATATGGTTCTTCTGTCAAAAGGCTATCAATGATCAAAAGTCAGCATCCATAACTGATTTACCTTTCTATTGTTGGTATAAGAGATGGAGGTGGAGCGCCTGGTGGAGGAGGAAAACCTGAAACATTCAATCATAAGATAAAAAATGTTAACAGAATGTACACTTAATGTCAGGAGTGAAACAAAGTTGCTGCATATCACTAAATTTCTCTGGGGATATGAATGTGCTTCTCTATGTTGTAAGAATGGACAGAAAAATGGAGCTCAAACTTATAAACAGATTTTTAGCACAATAAAACTTTAAATAAGCAGTCTGGTCTAATACACAGAGCACAAACTGGGAGTCAGGACACCGGTCTTATTTTCAGCACCACACACAGCCCATTTTGTAAGTATGAGAAAGTTAATCTCAATGCCTTACCTTTTCCATACATAAAACAGTAGCCACCAGATATATTTGAAATATTTTAGAAGAAAAGCAGATAAAATAGTAATTACCTCTTTCAAAAAATATTTCAAGTTTTAGAAGTATAGAAATTTCCTTAAAATGTGTAACAGAAGTATAGAAATTTCCTTGAAATGTGTAATTTATAGTCTTACCAGTAAATGTATAGTGCTCAAAGCTGAGAATATCCACCATAAAATATGTTCAAATAGCACAACCCTAACAAACTATTTTACAAAGAAAGGCACATAATATAGTTTGTGGATTAGTTTGTAATGAATATAATTTGTACCTCTACATCATGGGTCTGCATTCTCAATAAATTCACAATACCTAAATGGAATACCACAGAATAATAGGACTAAAAGGGACCTGAACAGTTAATCTACACTATACTTTCAAATTCAGATTAGCTATAAATCATCCCAAAAGAAAAGGATTGATTCCAAAACTTATGATGTCAATTCCTTATGATACCGATTCCTTCCAAGTTTAACAACTCTCAGTACTATAAATGCACCAAATTATATAACTTAAATCTCTCACAATACAATTCAAACACTGTCCTAAATGAGAACAAGAGGTATTCCACTGTCATATTTTCTATCACCTTGTAGTTATGTGAAAACACTTCCACTAAGCCTCCGTTTTAGTAATTCTATGAAAAAATAAATCTCAGTTGTCTGAATCCTTCTCAAAGATCCACTTAAATCAATTTTTAGTCCCGCTTCAAACTGTTTTCATGTTTACCATGCTCTTCACTGTTTTCAGGTTTATGATCTATAATTCCTCTATTAAACATCTTAAAAGTACAAAATCTGGCAATTACCATGTTAGTCCTACAGTCCACAATCCTATTTCACACAACTTCACAGCCACATTTGTTTTTTAAACTAAAAAGACACACCAATGGTTCCTTTGACTTTCCCTGATGAGTCTTTTTCAGACACATTCACACATAATCAATGTCTCTATTCCACATCTAAGTATGTATACTGTCCTATGCTACCTAAACTTTACTTTTTCCAACTGAGACCCACCCTTGCAAGCATTATCACCTCTCATTCTCTTCATATACTTTGGCTTGTAACAGTGAACTCAGTAAAACACACTTGCTACCAGGTGTAGCATCACACTATAAAAAGAAATAACTGACAAAAATGTTTAAAAAAAAAAAAAAACAAAAACAAAAACACTGGGCCACATATAAACTCCTATTGATCATAACATTACAACAATAAACCATCACCACTCTAAGAACCACCACCTGACCAGCTGTCTGTCTAGTTGCTATGTGGTTTAGAACGCATTTTCTCAGGATACTAAGTTAAGCTAGCAGGATTAAAATTTAAAAATCAGAAATAATGATAAAGTCAAAATAAATTATCTTTCTCTTCTCTTGCAGTCACTACATTATATCAAAAAATTCATTAGTCTGTAAAGACATTTTAAAGAAAATTTTTATTTTATACCCTATACTGTTTTCCTCGCAAATTGAATAGGTAAGAATTTTCTCAGAATCTCTATTTCTACAGAAATGGGTAAGACAGGTATAAGAATACTAAGTATCTTAATCAAAACTAGAATGAAGCAAAGGCAGAGCTGAAAATAGGACCTTGAAATCCCAATAGCCTATTCCATATTCTAACCACATCAACACCGTCCTTCCTGTAACTGTAAGCTTAAAATTTCATGTTTATTAACAATGATGGAGAAAACATGAAAAAAGTTTTACCTGGAGGTGGTACAGTTATTGGAATACCTAAAAAACAAGTGATGAAATTTAATATAGTAACTGGATTTCAGAACCTGTTATGTATTTATGCCATCACCAAAATGAACTTTGAAATAAAACCCCTCGCCTCATTATCCTGGCTTATTCACTCAAGAGAAGCATTCTGTTTTCTTGCAAAGGACTAACAATTCAAGTATAATATACAACAACCTCCTTGAGTCTAACAACTTGATAACAAGGTTTCCCCCACTAGTTGTAATCACAAGTTAGACATCAGTTAAAAAGCACACTTATGCACACACAATTATCAAATGCCATGAAGTTAATCCTAACTAAAATGATAATCAATGCCTGAGGCTGTTATTTTAATAGGAAAACTGATCTGTGGGGTTCTTTCTCTAATACTGCAGGTAGTACAAGGATAACTCAAAATGATGGATATTACTGACTTTTGTAAAGCTCAATATGTTGTGGTTCATTCAAGTGTTGACTGTTTTACTATCGCTGGCAGAAGTGAGGAAAGGCTAACATTTCCTTTGATTTGTAGAAGGAGAGAAAGGGGGAATAATCAATTCATATATACACCCCCAGGGCACATTAACATAAATGTAAATGATTTACTTTTATAGGTATTAGCAAATATTGAGTGACTCTCACTATTTGTATACATTATAAACTCTGAGAAATAAACTGTGTACATTCTCATTTTACAGGGACCAAATGTGCCCTTAAAGCCTAACATAAAATATATTTACTAAATACTAAAATTAAATTCAGCATTTTAAATTTAAGAGATACATGAAAGCAATTTATGTGGCATGCAAATTTTAACTATATCCAGTCGAGGAAAAATGAGAGATTTCTAAGCAGGAAAATAAAAAAAATTTAAGACAATTAAGAATAACTTTTTCATGAAAACTTTTATACCATAAATAACTAAAACAGTTGGCATGGTTTCCTAAATCCTATCTTAAAAACTGCATCAAAATTAGTCCAAAAAATAATCTAATTCATTAGCTAAATGTATGTAAAAAGAAAACAAAATTGTTTTCAAGTCAAAAGAAACATATGCTAACACTATTTTAAAATGTTCTGACATGCATGTTTTATCAGAGTAAGAGACTTAGATTTAAAAAATCTGAAGTTAGCATATGGGTCTTTAAAAAGACACCGAAACACCTGATTTTAACCACCCATACAATAAAAACATATTCCAAACTTACAAAACCAACAAGACTAAAAAAGATACATAAAGCAGCCATGAACTTTCAAAAATCATTAGGAATCCACAAGTCTGCTAAAGTGACCCATAGCTAATGGAAACTCTCATCCATCCTGAGGTTACCTTCCCTGTTTCCCAAATTACTAAACTAAAAGAATCCAGCAAACAATACAAGTTAGCAGAGTCCCAGACTCCCAAGTAAATGAGAAAAGTAAGGAAAGCAGAGCAGTAAATGTTCCTAATAAATACTATAACCTAATTTTCTTTAGAATAATAGAAATACTACTTAACTTCACTATTTGATCTATTTTCATATTTAAATAAATGATTATTTTCTTAGATTTAAAAGATAGAGACCTGTAAGATAAGATTTATAAGATAAAAGAATATACCACAATCATCCACCCATATACTGTAATCCTAATAACTTTACCTAAATGAATATGTAAGCAGGATGTACCACTTTAGCTACTGCTTACCACAGCTTACTAGAATGTAAATTCATGCAAAAAACTAAAAAAATTACTAGTCAGTCCCTTCAAACTTTAGTCCTCAAAAACATTTAAGTTATGAAACTTCCACAAAACATAGAGATAAAAGACAATACTAAAGAATTCAAATTAATTACATTACAAAAGTAGTTAAAATTACTATCTGCCTTTAATGTTAATCTTACTACATAGGACAAAAATAAGCTACTGTAATTGAACACATAATCAAAGAAAAAACCATGTCATTTAAAGATGTCTTTCTAATCAATACCTATATACCAGAAAGTTGGCATGGCAACAAGGAAGGGACCTTCCTGTGAGACCTCCATTTCATCTAGATATTATTTCAATGCAAATCTTTATTAGTAAACGTTCACTAAAACATGACTATAAAGTTGATGAAACACTATACAACCAATTCTTTGAAAATTATTCTATATAGTTTCAAACTAATACGTGATATCATAGAAGGCCAACATCATTCTCATTTAAAAATCACTATTTAGTATTTGACCTTTCTTAATAAAAGAGAAACAGTATAAGGGAAGAGAAAATTCATCTCAAAAGTCCCCCTCTTTTCCCCTCCCAACACCTCCATCTTCCTGGCAAACAGGACTTAAATAAGACAAGTATTTTGTTTCTTTTCTGCATCCCCCATCTGAAAAATGAGTTTAAAAAAATGTTTATTTTCCTGGAAAGCTATATGTAACAGTAGTAAAAGTAAATTTCTAGACTTGGCTAAAAGCTTTTGGAAAAGTAATACTCAAACTATAACAAACTGAACAGATTAGTGGTATTAAAACTTGAACATTCATAGGAATCACCTGGAGAGTCTCTTAAAACACAGACTGCTAGGCCCTTCCCCTAGAATTTCTGATTTGATAAGTCTTGGGTGGGACCAGAAAATCTGCATTCCCCAAAATTTCCCAGATGATGTTGCTGACCCAAGACTATACTTGAGGATAACTGCATCAGTTTCTAAACTTCTCTCCTAATTTCACTGCTGAGCAATTTAATATTCAATACAGACTGAATAAATCCCATTCCAAATTTTTATGAAACAAAGCATTTATGACACTTAAAGTACTATGAGAGCTTACATCATCTGGCATTTTCAAAAGAGAAGATGATTTCTTTTTTTTTTTTTCTCTTTGGTTGAGACAGGATCTCACTCCACTGTGAGTGGCATGATCATGGCTCACTGCAACCTCTGCTCACAGGCTGAAGCAATTCTCCCACCTCAGTCTCCCAAGTAGTTGGGACTACAAATGTGTACCACCATGCTGAGCTAATTTTTTGCATTCTTTTGTAGAGGCAAGGTTTTGCTATTTGCCCAGGCAGGTCTCAAACTCTAGGCTCAAGTGATCCACCCGCCTCGGCCTCTCCAAGTGCTGTAATTACAGGTTCGAGCAACCACACTTGGCCTTAATTTTTGTATTTTTTATAAGGATGGGGTTTCTTCATGTCGCCCAGGCTAGTCTCGAACTCCTGAACTCAAGCAATCCACCTGCCTTTGCCTCCCAAAGTGCTGGGATTATAGGAGTGAGCCACTATACCCAGCTTTATTTTTCCAGTATATAATGCATACACTTAAATGTAAAAGGAGGTGGGGGTAAGACCAGAAATCCTATTTGGGAGATTGAAGGAACTGAGACAAAAGAACAGAAAGGCAGCATTCCTGTTAAACATCATATTAAAAAGAATTTATCCATACTAAAAATTCCCACAAAATTAATAGTGGGCCTTGCATTCACACACAAAAAAAACTAAACAAAGATTGTCTATAAACTCATTCTCAGTGTAGTCCGTCATCATTTTCTATAACTAAGACAAAATAGCATCTAACATGGCGTTCAATAATCCCCACCTGCTGGTATTTATGCCTTTACATACCTCTGGTATTTATGTCCTGCCCTGTGTGGGGGCTGGACATTGTGACTTATGTCTAAAATACACATAAAATCAAAGTATGTTACTTCCATGACTAGGTTAGAAAAGACAGTGATTTCTATTTCACTGGCAGTCTCTCTGTTGCCTTCTCAGCTTATGTGCTTTGATTAAGCAAGCTGACATATTAGAGGCCTACACCAGTGAGGAACTGAAGCCCTATCAATCCAACAGTCTAGAAAAAAAAAAAAAAAACCCACCAGAATCCTTTTAACAAAGAGGTGAATGAGCTTGGAGACAAATACTTCCTTAGTCAAGCCTCTAGAGAAGACGGAGGTCTGAGAGAGACCATAAAGCAGAGGACCCAGCTATGCTTTTCCAGATTCCTGATCCATAAAAATTGTTCAATAATAAATGTATGTTGTTTTAAAGCCACTACATTCTGGAGTAATTTGTTATACAGCAGTGAAAACCAATACATGCAATAATCATCTATCTTTACTCTATTTAATTCACATGAAAGAAGAAAATGGCAGAATCTGTAAACCACGATTCCCTTTTCTCGCTAGTATAATTCCAAGTTCCATCAGCACTATGAAATAGAAAAACCTGATCACTTTCCTTAAGTCTCACGATTTGTATTTCAAAGCCGTCAAACTCAGAGTAAGTTTTAATCAAAAAAATAGAATACAGAAAGCCAACGTTTACAAAAATCTTTAAATATCACATAGAAATGCTTATCTATGTATCAGGATTTTTTTAAATTAAACACAAGCAAAAACATATGCGCGCGCACACACGTATCATCTCATCTACCACCCACCCTTAAATACAAACCAGAATGTAGAAAGAATACTGCAAAACCATTACTTCATAATTAAAACAATTACAAGGTGCAAAAAAGGATTTAAATTATCTTTAGGGAAAAAAAAGGTGTTAAAAAGTGGTATGGTCACACATAAAGTAACCAAAATAAACCAGCATACTGCATGTCTAAAAGGTAAAAAAGATAATCTTACATCAACTATAAAAGGGACAAACTATGTTGTCTTTATTAGGATCTCTTATTGTTCTAATTTATAAAATTTAAAGTCTACAGAAAATAAACTTTTATCTTAGAAAAACCATTTTTGATAGAAATACCAATGTTTCTAATAGAGAACTTGTAAAGAAATTATCTCTACCAGCTTACATATAATCATGAAATGATTGAAAGAGCAGTGTAAACAGAAGGCAGAAATTAAACTGTAATTTGATTCAACAAAATGTGTCAATGGTGTATTAAAAATGTAACTATTATAATGGGTGCATCATGGAGGAGAAAACACATTCAAAATCAACATCCTAAGAAAGCTTTTAATCTCTGTTAAATTTACATCTAAATAAATTTTAATTATGCCAGAAAATTATATTTATTACAGATAATT